ATTGGTTATCATTTGACCATCAGAGATAGCTGTGGCTTGTTACCCTGGATATGGGTTTGTAGTCCTTTACTTCAGTTTTCTAGCCGAATTCGTGTGAAGTTATAGTGAAAGACATCTATTGTGGTGTGTGAAAGTCCCTGTGGATATGGAGTATAATTTGAGCACCAGCTGTGAAGTATCAGAACCCCCATTTTTGAAGAGATATGCAGCCATTTTGTCAGTGCGGTTGCTCCCAGGGAACCTAAGTGTTTCAATAGCTCGACTAGTGTTGGTGCACGTGGACGCAATTGTGCTAGTTGGTTTCTGCGTAGGAAGAGAAGAGTCTGTTGCTAATTATAACGAGATTTGCAACCTTACTTGAGACTGCTGGTGGTAACTAGCTGGCAGCAAGCATTGAGCGGTTCATCAATACCTTTGGAGCAGCCAGCCAGTGCAATTATCCCATCACTCTTGGCTAAAATCTCCTGACATTGGGAAATGCAAACAGTCACAGTAAGGAGGGGTCTGGCAGCCCTCAAGGCTGTGGAACAAACTTCCCGCTCCAATGCGAGCTGGTCATTCTCTCGGCCAGTTTCAACGATTACTTAGAGAATTCCTCCCATCTAACGAATCTCATCAATTTGTTGACGGCCAAACCACAAGCGGTAATACCATGTACAATGGTGCTTCTGATACCTAGACTCAAGAGAGACCAACAGCAATGACAAAAGTATACAATGCCGAAAACTAATCGCATTAGTCAAGTTAAAATCTAATTTCTCTAAAAAAACTACCAGGAGTGAACGGGAAGCGGAGTGCAATACGATATGCAACAGTGAACTCGGTAGCTGCTCTGATGCAACCTACATTTCTTCATAACCTGACTGGTCTCACGACTTAACACCTACTTCCTAAAATTCGTCCCTTAAAATAATCTCTGCCCCGAGAAGATAAAATAACTGTCTATCGGTACATTTTCATGGCATGCAACATGTTTTATTATTTGCTCTTTGTTATTAGTACTTACATGTAAGTACTCTACAACACCACATTGCTTTGGTAGCCCCAATATGGTAACACTCAACAGGTAACGTTATCATCACCCCCTCTCCGTGACCAGATAAAGGGTGGTTACCGTCTTATAAAAAAACACGAATTTCGCTTAAATGTTCATAACTTCATCAAACATTTGTACATAGGCATATAACAAGTGAATAACTGTTCCAAAATCCTCTAATCTCTCTATTCCGTAGTGATATCTTCGGCCTCAGACTAATTCTCACAGTCGTTGCCACCTTCATCTTCTTCCACCCAAGCTTACCTCTAAATAGGTGGTTCTGGATACTTCTTCAAGTAAGTTTTGTAGTCAGTACAAAGAACTCACCTAGATGTATCATGGTTGATCTATTCCTGCGTATTTTTGTGTTCCTGTTTCGAATTTTGCCTGCTGCTCACTTTTGTTATTCACTTTTCAGGTTTTTCTAACCAGTCCTGCATTCAAATGGAATCCTACAAATCGCCTTTGTCAGCGGGAACCTTGCCATCAAAACCTTATGACGAACGCACACACCTCAAGTTCATGACTGTGATGCGGCCCCACCTTCGAGAATATTGGAAGATTCAAACGATAACCGAATAATCCCTTAATTCAGTCTAAGCCTGCTTGAACACACTTCTCGTATGCCATAAATAACGGTATCTGATGTATAGCCTAACATTGTACATAATAATCACTTCTCATTACCAGAATGATCAAACCTGTAAACTGGTTTGCATTCATGCGACCTTTGTTGTATGAAATGTATATCATTATTATTATTGTTATGATGCCGAAAATAATCTGTTTAGAACTTATGCGGTTTGTGACGAATATCCTGAGGTATACAAGACTAGCTGGACATAGGCTGTTTTGGTTTTTCAGATGGATCACGATATCGGGGCAAACGTAGAAACTTGAGTACAATACACTCAATGCCAACCCTAGGTAAACTTTGTCAAATCAAGCTCTCCTTTCACTACACTCAGTAACTGGGCAAGCTAGGTCCTAGCCTGCCTTATGAGAGCTTCCGTACTTTGGTTGCGGGAGGGTGGAGGTTGAAGAAGAAAGTGGTAATGCACACTGCATGATTTCATGATCGCCTCCCCAAAACTTGGAAACTTGAAAACAGTAGAAGGAAGACAAATATCTTGGCATAATACTAGTTCAAGCACTTTGTTACCTCTTGTCGGGCTGGCGATAGATCATCTTCACTCGAATATATCTAGTGCACTAAGAAGGCTATCATATCTAACAGGGCTGATATACGTGCCCTATTCAATTTCCGGTGAAGCCCTCACAAATGATCTTGTGGTCATATTGGAAAAAGGATGCGTTCAAGAGTACCGCTGAGTAAGGGATCGTCTTCAGAAGAAACTCTGGGTGCTCTTTGTGCGCAATCAGCCAGTATCGCAGCATCTTTGCAGTGTACTGTGACTCACAGGGAGTCCTTTATCTCATCGAACGTTACATTTTCCAATCTGAAGACAACACGCTTATGAGCACATCAGGCAGCCACCTACTACCACATTGCTGTGGTCACCATGTACAAACGTCGTTACTCAGCTCTTCGTCTGGTATGTTAATGTGGCACCAAGACTGCGATTATTAACACAGTCGATGATACGCTTCTTAGTATTGGTGGTTTAGCTGTTATAGGCTCGGCGTTAATGAGAATGATGTGCAGATGGGTGTGAACTATGACAGCCCTATGCAATGACAAAATCCCCTCCAAGAACTCTGTGGGTATTTTTTTAGGGACTGGAATACGCGTTTACATGAAATTTCGGTGCAAACATCGACTTTTGCACATTGCTCCACAGATGCGAAAAACGTGGCCCTATGTCTGCATTTGGAAAGATATCTTCAGTGGCCGCTTGTAACGATCAAGCACGATCCAGAACTATTTGTCCTTCTGCCCTAGTTTCTCCCATCATATGCTCAGCTTATGGAGCACCCAGTCAGCGTCTGTCTGTCCGCCCTTAGTTCACTGAGACGCACCGGTTTGATTGTTACCAAAGTCATCAGCACCCATAAAAAGGGCAATTTGTGAATACGCTTGGAGGTTCCAAAGCAGTTATTTGCTTACTTCCTCTTGTAAAGCGCATACTTCCGGTCAAAACTAGTGATCTTGTAAAACCTGGTGCATGTAACAGCTTGTTCGTTGAAGCCGAAGCATAATGTCATCAGTTGCTTGCGTCCATCCCAATGCCAAGCAGTCAGTTGGCCAGCAATACTTACTGTGTTAGGCAATACTAGCTGAAATACACGTTACTCCACATGATTCAATTTTTCAGATCCTTCAAGTAACCTCAAGACTCTCGATCGATAGTGTTTTCTTTACGTGGTGCAAAACTTGGCCTTTTTCCAACCCGACAGTCATCATGGGTTTCACCTGTCCCAAATCTTCCTCATCGAATTTTCTACACCCTGGGTCTTTCAGGACGAATTTTGATGTGCACATGGTCGCATATCATCTTCATATCCTGCAAAACAAATCGAATGAGTCCAAAGGAGAATTGTGATTCTCGCCTGGCATCCAAGTAGTTACATCCAAACGGCTTAACAGCAAAGATTCTTAACTCATTCCCTTGAACGTCTTTCGTACCTTCAGAACTCTTATGACCGAAGATGGATGCTAGAAACTGCCGTATATTCGTTCTGTCTCCCCTTCCATCGTTTGTTTTCTTGAACCACGCAATGTGAATTCGTCATCTAAACGGCATGTCCCACGGGCGGGGAAACGCCTAGGTTACTTACCTTGCTCGACTGCCGGTGAAATACTGACCCCTGCACGATCAGACGGGATGGTATTAACCGCAGACTCGTTGAGAAATCGGTTAACCTGTGATAAGTAGCGAGTAAAGTGTTCTTTTCAGTAGATTTTTAGCCAGATAACGATCAACAACAGTGGAAGTCACAAACATCGGAATCAACTCCTTAGACAACTAGATGACACGTTCTGACGCCAATGCGGTTCACTGAAACAGTAGCATAGACAGCCTAACTAGAATTTTAATATCAAATCAACAAAAAGCAGGAAAAGGACGACATGAAATTTTCATAAAAACATATGAACTCAATCGTATAACACGAATGGACAAATTATAACCAATGAGCAAACGGAAATCACGTTGGCGTAACTTACCAGTGTATCAACGCATCGTAACCGATAAATACAGTGAACCGGAGAGTAAACCAAAGAACTCAACACGATAATCATGGCGTAATGTAAAATAATTCGTTGGGTACGAACGTCAAAGACGGCTGCAGTATCAGTGAACCAACTAAGACAAAATTAGCACGAAGCACGGAGTCCAGCATGGTGTTCTGAGATGTAGAAAAATGGACTTCAGTTAATTAAAGGTAGCACTGGAAAGGAACAGAAAAAGAAAATTACGTAACGTTGACGAATGGATGATAACTTTTTTGAATTGAGTTTAAGAGTTTGATCATCACATGCCTTCCCTTGTCTGTGAACTACTGTTGATCGACAGCTGTTGTATTGATCCTTCACACATCATCATTGCTGACTATACTATACTATACTGAAATGAGCCATTAGGCGACGTCCCATTTGTGGTGAAATTTTAAATCGAAGACAAATATTTTTGGGGATAATCCCAAAACTAAGTCACTTCCTATGCTCCGTGGAGGCGAAATTATGAACAGGGCGCCAAATGTCGAATACCCCTGAGAATCTAATTTTCGAAATATCAAGGTTAATTAAGTAGTCAATAAGCTGTACTAAGTACAAAATATGGATTGAGATTTTTCAAGCTTCCCTTTATGTCTTGCTAAGCTGTTGTTCTCTGCATCCATTAATTCCGTGATCTATTTAGCGCTGAGAGAACCCCAGGGAAATGATTATCTTTAAAGGTTTTTATTGTCAACAATATCCTTTGTACTTGATGTTTTAACCTTTCACCAGCTGTTATCTTGTCCTTGTAAAAGGCCCGCGAATTTTGGATGTGTTCCTGCTAGTATGGCTTCACTCTTGGTCCTAGTTACCGTTGTACGTTTACTGTGTTTTTGTCATCTTAAAGGGGTTATTGCTCCACACAAGAGCTAAAATTCTAATTCGACTTGTATTCATCATACTGTTTTTCGCCTAATTCTGGACTTTTTCTCAAAATTGATGGGTTACGGCCTATATATTATACTTTAACTCTTATTGTGTATTTCCGAACTAACTTGGGTTAAAAATAGGTTATCGTTAGTTAAAACTTGCCGTTTTTCATCCATACGATTTTTCATTGGTATCATTAGTTTGGTGCAAATCAGGTGTCAATATTTGGTACTTATTACGTTATTTAAAAACTTTTTCAGACGTTTTTTTCTACAGTAGTGGTAATAAATGAGGAATTTGCATATGTTGAAAATTTTTTGTGAATCAGGTTTTCAACCTAGGTGAGTGGGGAATTCGGTAGTTACTAAGTAGTTGATATTAGAATTTTATTTTAGGTTCGCAGCTTTGTGTTTGTTTTATTCAGTGGCATGTTTGTACTCAGACAAGTTTGCAAGGTAATGGTTTGAGCTAATATCGTTTGAACTAATGGAAATGTCTGATAACAGCTGGATTACTGTAATAGAGAGAACGAAAGTTTAGCGAAGATACTTTTTTGGCGATCTCATTCTCTATAGTTGTACAATCACAGTGTATACATTTTTGTTTGATTAGATTGAACAGGTACAATAATTGTATAATTAAACTAGTTACAAAGATCAAGTTGAATGAAGATAAGAAACTCACAAGTGAGATGGAAGGTGAAAATGTCACAAAAGAGAGTAGAAACCACATAATAAACCGGATAAAATTTAAATTTTGTGGAATGCGCAAATATAGTTTTCCAAAGTAAAGCATGACCAGGGATAGCATGGGAACAAAATGAAGACGATGTTGAGTTATCAAAGTACCATGAAATACAACAAAATCGTGAATAATAAGAGATAGAAGCCGGTGTATTGTTAACAATTTACTAAGTCTGCAGTAACAATAAAGGTTGAACAAGTTTTTTTTGTGCACATAAATCCGGTTTCTCCATGCCTATGTCAAGAGCTTCTACAACACAGAAGGTGGGTGGGGACTATTTTGGTCAGATTTCTTTCCACCCTGTAGATGAATGGACACTGAATCAGTTGTGATGTGAAAAAGGGTATCTTTGCCGAACTTCTCTTTTTTTCTAATATCCTGACGGGTATTTTCAATAATTACTGTAATATACATCTCTACTTACCATATGTTACTTTTGTTGCCGTGGTGCATCATTAAGCCTCACACAATGGGCGTGGCTAAATTCCTACTACATAGACGTGCATATGGTTGCTGTGTGCATTTTGGCTCAGTTCGTTATGCTAAACCAGGTCATTTGGTGCTATCGTGACTCTGACTTTGCTGTAAAAGGTCGGATGTAGATCGAGTTGATGCGAGCGTTTCCGCGCTGTGCATGCATAATCTAATCTTTCGGTGCCAATCTCAATCTGTAACTGCGTATGTGGTGATTGGTGTATGACTAAGATTGTTACCATTTAGTGGAAACACCACATGTATGATCCTGATGTAGTGGTTTATATTTTGGCTTGATGGACATCGTCATTTTCTGAATGAATCCACCAATTTGGAGGTAAAAGTTTGGGAGTGTTGTAATATATAATCTCAAATTAGATTGTTTATTTGATATTGTGAACAGCGATGCAATGTTAGTTACTGTATGACTTTATGAGTGCAGTTTATTCCTGGTAATCATGATAACTATTATATGATCATGAGGGCTTAACTCATTGACAGACAGATGCAAAAATTTTGAAGGTTAATCTTGGTTCAAAAAGACTTCCATGCTGACTGAGGTGGGAAGGTAGTTGGCGATTTCAAACTATTTACAGCATGAGATATTACTTTTTGAGTTACCCAAACAAGGAAGTCGATTATTAAGGATGGTCAAACCAACTTTGGTTCTTGAATACGGAGTTCAGTTGATATCAGTTCCACTTTGCTACGTCTGTACTTTGGAAGAATCCGTATTGCCAGCATTGAAATTACGTCGGGGATGGAGGTGTGGTTTTCTTAAGATAGACCTTCTATTCCTCTTTTCATTGAGGGAAGTAAATACCAAATGCCACGGATAGCATGCTTAATGAAGAGTGTTGAAACGTGGTATTATAAACTAACCATTATAGTAATTCTGAACAAAAGAAAGGGCTGTTGTGTGATATCACTCTACCTGAAGTGTTTTGTATAGGACATCTAAAGTGTTACTAGACGTTCTAAGTTTATCCTTTTTTGACTGATAGTTTCGGAGAAGAGTCTTGTCTGCCTAACAAAATGCAGCTGCTATGACAATAAATACAATGACGTAAGCACGTAGTCATTGTTCCCACAACTTAAAAGGAAGCCGACCTGCTTCTCTTGAGTTTTTCCCACACTTTTTGCTGTTTTTATAGTGAGATAATAGCTAGTACCTTTGGCAAAATCTGTAACAGACTAACACATCAATGACTTCAAGTAAGTGTGAGCACTACAATCACCTTATTTCAGTGTGACGGAACACTTTCACTTAGTTATACCTTCTTCAGCAATGTCCTTAACTGCATTACTAGTGTCCCCCTCTTTTGAGAAAGCCGGAATTATGTTGTTGAAACCAAGTAAAAAGTTTCAGCTAGCTGTCTAAAACTCAGCTTTTATTTATGAATGGCACAGACTTCCAGGTGTAAGCTAACCTAACTCGCAATTTTCATAGCAACTTGTGAATGCAGTCATGGTGCATCTACATTTTCTGGGGAGTCAGTAGCTAACCTTGTGCGTGGTCGGGTTTGCCATTAAATCACAGTATGTAATACGTAGTTCTCGAGTTATCGTTTAAGGTTTAGTTTACTTGTGTTATCATGGCGTAGTATATTACAACTTATATTAGTTCTTGAGCTTACATTCTAAAAATTTAATCGCTCACGTCTTTGGGATGTTGTATACGAGTACGAGAGAAACAATATGCATCAGTAGTAAAGCTCTTCAAAGTCCTATATAAGGTTTTCTGTTGTCTAATATGCATCAAAGTATTGAATTTGGTAAGCATAAACAATGATTTTGAAATTGTTGAACCAGGTATTGTACTTCGTCATACACAAGTGCATCGGTTGAAGTTCAAGCATACAAGGATCATGTGGATAGAGAAAGATTGGTATGAAAATAGACAAAGGTGTTTAAGAGAAAAAGTGACCTGAGAATGAAGGTTAATGCAGATATTCGAGCCTTCGGAGATGTCTTAGAGTGTATATATCTGTACCATTATGACTGACCTGACATAATTTCAGACTGGTTGAGGTAGTTACGACATACATTGCAGCTGTCGACTCTCTCTCTCTCTCTCTCTCTCTCTCTCTCTCTCTCTCTATATATATATATATATATATATATATATATATATATATATATATATATATATATATATATATATGGATTCTTAGCAAATGGACCTTCGATAACCAGTACATTTTAACTAGTCTGTTTGGGTAAGCGCTTGAAAGGACAGGAAAATGAGGGGATTGAGGGAGTCTTAAGTCACAGATTTCCCCTTTTCAATATATGTAGTTGTCATTTATGCAAATTCATATTTTCATCTGCGCACCTCAAGCAGAACTTATGACTTTTGACTGAAGCATGTGACAAAGTGGTACTTATCCTTTTTTATAGTCATATTGTAGAGTAAAGTAGGTGTTATTCTTTAGTTTTGTTAGTCTCAGAAATGTTATGTATCAGCCAACTTGGGAACGTTGGGGTTACTTTGCACAACAGTATTTAAAATAATGCTTTTCTTACCGTTTAGAAGTTGTTTTTGCATTTAGGAATTACAGGCTTACTTCACATTGTCATAGTTCATTTGAATTTGCATACTTAAACAAGTTTATTGTCCTAGTATTTTCGAATTTTCTGTTTATATTATTGTTTATTCTAAAGATACAAACCTAAATAAACCTCTTGCACAAGAGGTGGCTATCGGACCCCAGTAGCGTAATGGATAACGCTCTGGCGTTTGAAGCTAAGGCTACTGGGTCCGAGCCCCAGTGGGAACATCACTCACTGAGATGGAGGTACATCCAGCTGACGAGTCCTAGGTAGGATAAAACCCACGTCCTGGATTCCTCTGCTAGTCATCAAGATCAATATAACTAAATAAACCCTACCGTTGGATATTTTTATATTTTATTGACTTATGGTTGGTTCAGATGAGAGTTAATTTCGTATTTCTCACAATAAAGTTGTATAATATGTTTGCATTTTTTGAAGATCTGTCTTACCCTACGGATATATTTTGTATCTGGTGATTGTATTTGGTATGGAATTTGTGATGACCATGTGGCTGGACACCCAAGATATTGTTCCTACAACGGGTCGGCAAGGGCGTTGGGGAAAGATGCCTTAAAAACACTTTCCACTCTTTGTCCAAATTATGCAGTAGGTGATTCAAAAGTATGTTGTGATGAGAAACAGTTGGACTTCTTCTCGAAATCTGCTTCTCTAGCTGCTATGTTGTTGAAAAGGTGAGCTTTTTGCCGAGTTTGATACTTATAGTGATGCCTTATGATATAAGCTTTTTCCTTAAGAACCAAATAAATAAGAATACACGCCATATAGCTGTTAACATGGTGAAAATTTTGTCAAAGGCCATGCTGTTCTAAAAATCTAGGAATAAGAATGATCATAACACTAATAGTAATAACAATAACTAGTAATAATAACAATAATAGTAGTAATGTCAACTATCTGACTTGCTGAAATGACAAAAACTGAGACTCCGGTTGAACTCTTTAGGGATTTAACTCTCAAGTGGTGTATTACCGTTTTCAAACCTACTGCAAATATCAAGATTTAGACAGCCACGTAATACGAATACCAATACCAATACTCACATGATTAAAAACAGTGTACGTATCTGATTTGCTTGTTGAATTACATGTAAAACTTGACAGAATGAAAATTTTTAGTCGTCACAGAAGCATGGGAAAGGTTAAAATAGGGGAGAGGATCTCGATCGGATAGCGAACAAACAAATGCATAGTAACTTGTAGATGTATCTACACCATATTAACTGATTTTGAGGCTTGCCACCAAGCATCTCTAACATCAGTATTACTACTGTATACGACCTTGTGTACGAAGATATTGCGATGATATGCAGTTTAGGTGAAGATTGACCAGAACAGGAAAGAGAGATCTTTATTTAAAAATCTGTTAGCTATTGATTCACCACATTTTCAGATGTTGACTTTCCTCACTTTGCTTTCTATAGTGGTAGATATGACTGAAGTTGTATGGATTGATGTCTAGACATTCCATTTATGTCATTTTAGCACATTTTTGAAATACATGAGCATAACTTGAAGCTAATCGCTTCATAGGGATCGTTGTTTGGAGCTAGCGGTTGCAACATTCACAATAATTCGTTTTGTATTTCAATAAGGATAATCATTTGATATTAATATCCTAGTTTTGTCTTTTTATTTATTCAGTGACCGGCTGGAAAACAAATATAGCAAAGTTCATGAATTATAAGTTAGTCAGATGAAATGAATCATATACACAGAGTGAATAACAGTATTTATTTGAACTCAGTTTTCATACCTATTAGGTGAAATCACCATATGAGTAGTGTTGAGATCAGGGCAAGGGTACTAAACAAGACAGGCAAGTCGATTGATGAGCTTGTGAACCTTCTTCGGCTGACATGGCTTGGACATATGCTGCGCATGCTGAGCCTCCGCCTACCTCAACGTGCCATGCCATACAGGCATTACTACATACAAAAGTTAAACCATACCTTACTTAGCTTGTCTATAGTCTGAAGAAACTCATGTTAGACATAGTCTTATCAATCAACTATATTTCTTCAGCGTTTTTTCTTTACAACTCTAGAACTCTCTATGTGATCAAATGTAAATTATCTTTTGTTCTGACTAGTATTTGTATTCCTAGTTTTTTTGTTTCGTTTCCATATCGTTCTGATTATTTCTGATTTTTATTGTCGCCCAAGTTTCTCATTCAACACACAGCATTTTGTGCATTTGTACGTTCAATTAATTTTGTTGGAATTTTCTATTCATGCAGCTGATATGAATATTGATGAGAGAAAATGATACCACTTTGCTCTTTAGTCTCGTTTCGTCTTTTTCATTGTTCAAAATTATCATTAGATCGAAATGTTTGAAAGATAATTGGTAACTGGTTGGTGATTGAAGATGGAATGAAAATCTAGGCCATGGTAAGGTTCGAACCAGCGACCACTGAGTTTTCAGCCCGATTCTCTACCAACCAACTTATTCTGGTTAAAGAGGCTTAGTCAATGTTCTCGGTCTACTTTAGATGGGATGATATCCTAAAGCTTCATATCTTAGTTAGTGTAATGTACAACTCAGACTTTTAGCATTGAATGCAGCAGAAGACCTTACATTTTTACGGTGATTATTCTTCTAGTTAACATCATCGAATCGGGATGATATGGTTGTGACTATTGGCGCTTCTTCTTCTTCTATCAACATACTTGCGTTTTTGTTCACTTAAACAAATTATTAGTAAGTAGTTTTGTTATTTTCTGAATATCTCTTTCCTTTTATTTCTAGATGTCCAGCGTGCTATGCAAATTTCCGGTTACTTTTCTGTGCTATGACATGCGATCCAAATCAAGCGAGGTTTATCACGCCAACAGTCCATGGGAAACTAGTTGAATCTATCACATACACCTTAACAGATCGTGTAGCTGATACATTCTTCAACAGTTGCAAGGTATGTTGATAAATTGTTTCAATGTTCCTATAGGTGTATGTGTATCTATTGTTATCCTAGAACGACAATAAATAATGGCATTATTAAAGCGCTCAGTTAAGAAATAGAATTAACCTGTTTAATTCTTTGTATGGATGCCTTGATTACATCAAAGTTTAGTTGAGGATAACATGTGAAAACATTAGCACATGAATATGATATGCACTAATTACAAGCCACTATTTAGATCGTTTAAACCTAACACAATGTAGAGTTGTAGGCTGTATTTGCCCGTTGAACAAGACTGGCGGTTATCTTATCTCATCAACTTAGTAGGTAGATCTTCAATGTCTAAGATGATGCTTACTCAATTGAAATGTGAATAGAAAATAAAACTTTGCTTCGTGTTGTTTGAACATCTAGCTGGTGAATATCAATCGGGTCCAAAAACGCTTACTCCAAGTTTCATTACTTAATATTAACGCCAATAACTCGTTTATTCTGGTGATCTACAACTTATTATCGACTTTTGGCTTGTCGAAACAATTAGGTCTATGGTCGAAATTCCCATAAAATAACAACTGGTTTAGAACATAGCTTATGAAGTGTTGTAACTTTTCGAAAGTTAGAAAATTATAAGAAGCAAGTAAAAATCCTATACAACTACCCAACTGTGGTGTCAGTCAACAGAGTTTCCTTTAGAAATCATCCAGCCGAGTTCACAAGGTGAATCTGACCTCTGACAGCAAAATATCATGAACTGGTGAAACATACTACTGAAAAACTTCAGTAGTATCAGGTGTTCAGTTGTTATATTTCCTTTAATATCAACTGGAGCATAAATTTACCATAATTTACAGCATAACTAGATAGAATTTAAGTTAAGAAAAACTTTTTATCGGTCACCTCATTTCCACTACTCAATTACAGTTGACTTATTCACCAATGGGTCTGCAGTTCCGAACCCCATCCTACTAAGTAGCTGGGTGCAATCAAGCCATTGAACAACTTCTGCGTATGTGTGCCTTTGACTTATTGGTTTAGTTAAAAGGAAATAATATAAGTATTCTATGTATTTTGAGGTTGTTGGGAATTTTATTTTTTAAGGTATTTTCGACCGTTGAACTCCAACCCGCGGGTTGAATGGCTAACACGTTCACCGTGGAATCCGAAGGTCTTGAGTTCAGCCCCTGGCTGTTTCATCGGTGTATACTGCTGAGGAGTCCCATACTAGGATGAAACAGCTGTTCAATGCTCTCAGGCTTTCAACTGTTCTCCAATTGATATCAGTTCGTGATGAATGCAACCTTGTAAATAAGTAAACTATTTTATACTGACAGGGTTAATAATTTTTCATTTTGTATTATTTTTGAATAGGATGTAACCTTTGGCAGTATGCATGCATTAAGTCTAATGTGTGGGACTAGTGAGTGTACTCGTCAATTGTTACTAGAAAATCTTGGTAAATCAACTGGTAGTGGTCGTAGTCCATTCGATATTCGATTTAATGTTGTCAATGCAACAGCCTATTATGATAATATCAATCGTAATTCAAATATTTATCCATTCGATTCACTATCTTATCAATGTAATCAATCTGTTCCAAGGCGTGCAAATGATCCTGGTGGTCCAGCTTGTTCATGCGTGGATTGTTCAAGTTCTTGTTCATCAGAGCCACCGGATTTACCTCCACAGCCTAGTAGACCAATAGAAATTTTTGGTGAGTTTATTTCTTATATTTACAGTAAAAGTAAACCGTTTGAATATACTCATGCTTTGTAAGCAGATTTTTGTCAGCCTACTGTTAGTAGTTTTCGTCTCTTGAATAATCTTAAAATTGTTTCTGATGTGAGTTAAAAACTTGAAGAGCTGAAAAATTGTTTTGATTTGATTTTAAACTCACCGTTAACCACTGTCGGAGGTAAAAGCATAGTATTCATGAGCATTGTGATGTGACCAAGTAATTCTTGGAATGCTATCCCTTTATTTGGCAAACTTATAACAATACTGATGTTTTCTTGAAACGCTTGATGCTTCATACTATCATCTGGATACTATGATGTCCAATACGTTTCCATGATGGATGTGGAAGGATAAAAACCCTTCCACATGAAAAGATTTCGGCAGATTAATATTCTATCAGATATTTTTTGGTCATTATTCCTGCTTACTCACAAAACATATCCCACTAATATCAAGTTTTGGTTCTAGAGTAACGATCCCACTGCGTTTCGGGAATCTAGATCTCGAGGACAAAGTCTTAGCCATGTGAATGTGTTATCGTGTTCACTCAAGGATCGGTGGTCAAAAAGCAGCTTACTATCGCCGCAACCACTCCGTTCATAGTTATCTGATTGGTATTATCAATCCATGCCTACTAACATGGAGAAAAGTATGGTGAAATGAGCACATTAACACCAGTGATCGTTGATCAGTTGTTCTTTGACAGTTTAATTCTGACGACTTTTAATTTCGCAGAAATCTTTTGTCATTAAGGAGATTTCGTCATGCTTCTTCAAAAACCTCTCCAGCAAGATGAGGGTGAAACAAATCCATCCTAAACCTCATCACTGGAGATCAAAGATCAGACAGATGTTTATGAACAATTACCGTGAGAGAATCTGTAAACTTAGTCAAGAGGTTCCATATTAGACGGTTTATTTGATACTGTATCACTGTGAAATTATGCTCTACCGCAGTACCCAAGTTTTACTCTTACATTAGTCAAGAGCTCCATTTCTCTTTCCATAACAGTGTAAAATCCAGTTTAACCCGAAGTAGTATCTCCAGCAAAATGTTTCTTGAGTGAGAGGGTGGCCTCAATGTTCACAGCAATTACCACGTCAGAATGGTCACCTTTTCTGACTTTTTCTCTGAAGAAATTTTCATCTATAAGTTTATGAAAGCGTGCTCCGATAATTGGAAAGAGTAACATTAACCTGGAAACTATAATAACTGTTGAGAGCAAGAAGATCGTAGTGTCGAAGCATTTGATGGAAGCATATTTTGGATAGCACGTACATTCTCTGGATTTGGTCGACGTCTCTGTTTATCGAAGATAAAACCAAGATATTTCACTGAATCCATGAAAAATGTATACTTGTCTTTTTTAAGATAAAAACTAAATTCAGACATTTTAGAAGGGGATAGCATCCAGTCGATCAAACAATTCAGACTTACTGCTGCCTGTGACAATCACACCATCTAAATAGACTGCAACCCCAGGTTGGTTGGCAAGCATCGTATCGATGATTTGTTAGATGGCAGGTGCTAGCTTGACGGTAGGCGTGTATATTGGTAAAGATCTCGATGAGTGTTGATTGTCAATAGCTCTCACGAATTTGGTTCTATCTCTGCTTGAATATACGCATCTGCGAGATCGAGTTTAGCAAAACATTTTCTCCCGTTTAGCTTAACGAACAGATCTTCTTGAACTGATAGTGGATAAGTATAATCTTCTAGGTCATTATTCAAACCAGTTGAAAAATCTGCGCACAAGCTAACAAAACCATTTGTCATGCGAACAACTACTATTGGAGCAGCCCATTGAGAATATGTAACGGGTTGGAGGACACCCAATGCCTCCAATCTGTTAAGCTCATTGTCGACCAGAGTCACTGCAGCATAAGGGACTGGGGGTTTTGGACGAAATACTGGCTTGAGATCTGGTTTCAGAGACAGAGACACTCAGGTGAACTTACAGCTACCGAGTTTGTCCTGAAAAACGGAAGCATGCTTCTGACGTAAACATTCTAGCAGAGATTTACCAGGCATCTTTGATGAATGAGTGTTATGCGATGATGACAATGCAAGAGAGCAAACTGAATTCAATGGTACATTTAGGATATCTAGCATATCTATCCACTCCACACCAAGTAGGTCTAAATCATGACGATTTGTTAGGTAACAGACATCATTGAATTTACGATCACCAAACTGAACATGACAACTAATCTTACCAATAAGTTTTAAAACATCTCCAGAAGCATTTCTAGCGATATGTCCAGTTGGCTGGATCTGTGGGCACCCAAGTGTGTGCCATGTGTTCTGAGGAATTGAAGTGATATCGGATGCTGTATCCATCTGCAAACGAATAGGTTTGCCATTGATAAATAGATGAGCATACTTCCTCTTGCTCTCAAAATCGACTTTAAACGTTACGAAAATGCTTTTGGCTTGAGGAGATGAACTGAGTTTCAAACGGTTGTTTTTAATTCTCATGGAGTTCTTCTTTGTAGGAGAACAATAACCCTCTTTATGACCAAATTGATGACACTGGGGTCATTTATGCTTTTTGAATGGACAAAATGCCACAAACCACAATGCCAGCAAACTGAAGGAGGTTTACCTGAGAGCTGTGAATGAAGTTGCCTGTGCTTGGTTGTAGAATGAGAGGTTTTCACTGCGTTGACTGAATCCAAATCAGACGCCTAGGACTTTTACTGTATCATAGCTGCATCATACTTCAAACTTATTAAGCGTTGGCATTCTGCTGTCATCATCTGCTGTGTCATTTTTGGATCTTGTTCGACATTTGACAAAAGTCTGGTTTGGATATCAGCATCTTCAGCGTTCTTCAGGATTCCCTGCTTGAAGTTTTACTGGATACCTTCGATATGTCGCCGCTCGAAACACAAGAAGCGAACCAGACTCGACCACTTTCAGCTCGAAAATCGCTTTGACAAAAAAGAAAACCAAGACTCTTTCAAGTGGACCCTAAAAAGAAGTCATACACTCTTTACTGGGGGGGGGGGGATGTGATAGGAAGTAGCCAAAAATGAAAATCACCATTCAGGGTCATTCACCGTTGGAGTAGAAATATTTTCGTTTGAGATCTTGATTTATGTCCATGTATGGTCAAATTAATTTTACCGAACACTTTTGTCCTTCAGCTGATTGGTGATCTAGTGGCTTCATTTTTCGAGTAGAAGCTGTATATAAATACTGTTTTTTATACTGGGTGGTAATTGAAGGTGAGGTGAAAATCTGAATCGCGGCCGGATTCGAACCAGCGATCACTATGTTTTTTGTCAGATAAAATCGTCTTCCTTAAGTCACTCACATGCCCGTCTTTTTGTTTTCTGATTTTTGCGGCTAAGTGAAATATCAGATGTAGGGGAGAACAGTCTCATTACTCATATCCAGTCCAAGTATCTCATTGCGTTATTACTCGTTCTGCTTATTATTAGAACCCACGTCCTACTCCGACACAGTCACATCAGAAACCGAATGTTTGCATTTCCCCATCTTTGAGTTTGCATTGAGGAATACTACTGTGACTTCAGAATAAAATGTTTTAACATTGATATTATTGAGCCACAATATCCTCTGGAAGCTCAGAATTCTACATTTTTGAAGGTGGATCAAGAAAGTTCGAAAAATCCCAGGTGTCTCAGCCAAATCATAGTTTGTGAAGGCCGAATTGATTCCAAAAGATGAAAAGCTCATAAATACTCTTTTCCCAGCCTAAGTCTACCGAAATTCGGACTGTTCAACTTCCTACATATCAGGGTTTTCAAACTAGGCACAGACTTTCGAATGCGGTTTTATGAGGCTTGTATTTGTGGTCACTGGCTTCAGAGATCATGCCGAGTTCTCATATTTTCATCGCCAGCTGATAGGTCAATAAAGTTTGTTAGTATGTGATTCTTCCGTGAAGTTTTGTGATTTATTGGTGACTGGAGGAAACAGTTTTTATTATCAAGTGATATTTTTTTGAGGGTTCTACTTGTGTATACTTATATACTTGTGAAATTAGAACAAGACATATAAGCTAACAATATTTTTTTCAATTAGATCCTCTTCGGGATTTCACTCACTTTCACTTATGGGGAAGAAATTGCTAGTAAACTACACTTCTTGGATATCTTGCTAAACAGAAGAGAAGATGGTCCACTCAGCAGATTTGTGTACAGGAAGACTATATTTATAGGTCCGTACACACATTTTCTTAGTCACGTACTCATTCGGTACAAAGCAAACCTGGTTAAATACCTCACTAACAGCGAGAATATATTCGGATAATTTAATACACAAGGAGTTAGAATATATTTATAATTCATTGGTCGAATCGGTTACTTTAATAGTTTCATAAAAGACAAATGGATAAAGCGAGGGGTAACAAACCTGGAATTATTGCCGTACAAAAGGAACCGTTGTTCATGAAATTGCAATTTAATAGAGATGTAGCCGGAGAAGTTTTATATCAGAGACTCTCTGAAGCCACTAAGACGACTTTCTACGCCACACAACTCTGTCTATCATTTTCTAGTCGACCAGTTGTTGTTGCTCAGACAAGAGATAAGTTATCTAGTTTTGCTATTCTTCTGTGTATTTACAAGTTTAGCTGCTCCTGTGTAGAAAGCTATGTAGGGCGTACTACTAGACAACAGACGTGTTACTGAGCATCTACCTTAATGAATGGGAAAGGGACAGGTAAAATCCATCAGAAGTCCAGTTTTATCTCATCTCGCTGGTAGTGATCACTTGGTAGATAGGAACAATGCTTTCACGATTATTCACCATATACCACCTCATCTTTCGAAAGGTATTCTAACTCCTCTTTTACACATAGCTAAGGCTATGGAAATTGGAGTTCATAATCCCAGTCCTTGTATCCAGAAAAAATTTGTACATCCCTTATCTCTCACTTGCCAGGAAATACCTAATTAATAACTTTATCATTGAGTTTTTTCCTACCCCTTTCTTATTCTTCACCCCTTTCATAACTATATTTGTTTAAATTTTGTTTATCCACTTGCCTCATCCTTCGTAACTTTTGTTTTCTCAAGCTTTCGACCCACGTTTATTATCGAATTGTCTACATTTTCATGCTGCTTTCTTGGTTCCCATCATCATTATCATCTGTATTGCATGTGCTTTAGTCAACGTTATCACTTTTATTTGTATTATTATCACTATCGTTATTTTAAAACATCACATTGACCAACAAGTCTACGTGATTGGTTTACTATATATATATATATATATATATATATATATATATATATATATATATATATATATATATATATATATATATACATATATATATCCATTTTTGTGTGCTGCGCTGTAATGGTTTTTTTAGCAGTATTCCACTGGTACTCAACTTCAGTATTCTAAATGCTTTTTCGGTAGCGAAACTGATGGATCTCTTTTAGGACTTCGAAAAGTTTTTGTTCCGATGACTAGTCATTAATGATCGATATTGTTATTATTCAAGTCAGTCATTCTGGGGGATCCAATGACTCATTTCCACAGTTATATGGATTTTTTTGTTACCAACTTGTTTTATGTTATTTATATTAAAAGATGTCAATAGTTTTCACTTCCCCTTTCTATGCTCTTGTGAAGTATTTCATCCTGAAGCAAAGTACTCCTGTACACGGTTCTGCTCTAACTTGTTTAAATATCTTTCAATGATGTGCGTTTGTTGCTTCCTACTGTACTTCAAGTGCACCTATCTTTCTACAGATGGGAGTGACAGGCTAATCTAAGCGTTGGTTTCATCCGTTTTCTATCAACTTCTTTGCATGCCACTGTTAAATGATGGAAATCGAACTGATACACTTCTGTACAAGGTTCTACATGGATTTTTCTATCTATCTGTCTCTGAACTTTTGTCAACTACTGTTGAATTAAGTTGTGTAAACACAACTTATTGTTTCCCCATCCATATATTTAATTCCATCATATACTGTTTGTTTATATGTTTGAAATTTATATTTTCCAGGTATTAACATTTGGTGGTTTGGAGGTTACATAATCTTTTCAGTACTGACAATTACTTTTGCCACATATGAAATTATAAAACTTGTTTATGGTCATGAGTTTGTATGGACTAATGGTAGTTGTTGTACAATTGGACGTCATCAACAGCAAAATCCCCTTCTAGATAAAGAAAGTAATGAGGAGAGGAGAGTTTGTATTTTTGCGCGTATTTCAGCCTACTTCAATGGAATTCTTACTAAGGTAGGCCTTGTATATACATATATGGTATTCTTTTTGTAAATTTACTAATAATTACTATATCCTACAGCTACTGTAGAGCAATAAAAATTGCATTACTTAACTGTAAAATTGATCTTTATTGCATACAATGAACACGTTTACTGCACACAGTGTATGTTTTCATTTCTCTAACCTACACTGGTTATTTTGATAAAGGTAAATTATTTTACTGAATTGTATTTATCTACTAATGCACCAACTAAGCATTCCACTGTGAATACAGCAAATGTTTTACATAGCCGAATTTCGTTTTAGGCGGGAGGGAGGCTGATGTTACTTCGCTTGATTGGATTCTCCACTTTAACTGCAAACTTAGCCTTTTAGTTTCCAAGTCTAACTGAATGCCACTTTCACTTCTGTCTGTGACTAGAGAAAGAAAAGCAAAACCTTTTTAAGCACGTTATGAATTGCTCTGAAAGAAAATTTTCTTATGAATCAGTTGGAGTATAGTGAATTTTAAACAAAATCTTTGAGATTCATAGAGTAGTACTAGTATGTTTTGACCCCTTTATAAAACTCCTCAACTGTATCTGCACATACGTCGTTCATAAGCTGAATGGTAAGGTTGTCAGCCAGATATTTCTAACCTGACCAAGTCGTGTTGAGGTGTGACCTTTCTGTTGGTTCAGTAAGAATCACCGCTGTTTCATAATGCCTAGTTGGTATTAAAATCTTAAATATGTTATCAAAAGCTGAAGTCTGTTTCTTGTTGCCTATGCTAGGTTTGGACGCTGCTTCACTCGTTTGGAAATATAAATGTTCACTGTCGTCATGGATACTTATCAGGATGGTATACTCATTGTGATGTTCAAGTATCCTCGCTTTAGTTCTAAGGGTAGTGATGGGTGGCGAAAGCGAAAGAGATAGGGGAGGGATCAACATTAGGCGATTCTCAACAGTTATTTTGGCTTAATAATGAACTTGGAAAGAAGACGATGGTCAGTAAAACCATCACTGAAAAGGATGGGACCCAGCTAGCGTCTTGGAGCAGGCAGCTAGAACTTTGGACGAAGTAGTTAAGGCACAGTTCAACTAGCCTTCAGTTGCCTAGCATCCAAGCCGGACTGGGATAGAACACAGGTGTTAGTACTTCGACTCTCCTAGAAAAAGAGTGGGTTATTTCAAGCTTGAAACGATGCAGTGTAGCAGGATCTGACGGTTTGCCACTGAAAGCATCTAATTAAAGAGGTGGAAAATTACTGAGTAGGGTAACGGAGGTACTAGGTAGCACATAAGTATCAGAGGCAGTACGGTTGAACTGGTTTAGATCTCTTGTCATTATAGTCTACAAGAAAGAAAAGAAGTCTTCTTATGACAACCAGAGGAGGACTAGTTCAACTAATATCATGTCTAAGATCCTAGAACCCATAGATTTCCAACACCTAACTGGAGAAAACCCTAGAAAACCGGTCAGGTTTCAAACCTGAACAAGAGTGCATTGATAAGATTTTCGTCGTTTCGTAGGCCCTGGAACGCAGGCATACTTAGCGGCGTCCAACAGTACCATATTTCTTGACCCGATCTTGGTCTGAAGGTGGCATTCAACTCTGTCGACCATGAGGTGTTGTGTCAGTGTCTGACTGTACAGAGAGTACCGAGCAAGTATATTTTGTTATTTAAAGCTCTCTACTGGATTCTACCCAGCTGTGTAAGGCTTATTGGTGTTTAAAAGTCTCGACAACCAGTGATATCCACCAGGGATACCCGCTATGACCATTTCTGTCTAACTGTGTCATAGACTTACTAGTAGACAATCCTTGATAACTCACACTTCACAGAGATTGATCTACTCTCTGGAGGACGTTTATTTAGCTTGGATTACTCAGACAACGTTGCCGTGTTAGGGGAAGATGCCGACAAAATTCAGTGTCTTCTAAATGCCTTGAGCAGAAATTTGAGCATATTTAGCATGCGTTTTACCCCTGTCAAATGTAAAATGATAATTCGAGCTTGGTCTGCATCTACTGCTAATTTAAGGATAGGGAATGAAGTGGTGGAATGTATTAACCACTTTTCTTGGGAAATTAAATAAACACAAATGGGTTGGCTGCTCAGGAGATGTCAGTTCGGAATCAGAAGGTTCGTTTGACATTGTTCAATATGCGTCGTCTCTACTTATTGGAGAGCGAGAAGACTACGCTTTATTTATCTGTGTTCTGTTATATGACTATCGGATATGAACTGTGAAGGTAGAAGACATAGAGAGATTACGTATATTTGATCACAGGTGTCTTCACAACATTGGTAATGTATGGTTGAATCACCGTGTGAGTCACTCGATGACGTTGTAGACTTTCAGTGACTGAGGTGGCTTGGAAATGTTCCACAAATACCGATGTACCAATTACCTGGACGTGCATTGTGAACTGAATTAAAATTTAGTTGGAAGAAGCTTCAGCATGGCTAGAGCATGACGGGGGTATCAATTTATGAAATCTAAATTTTATGAGTCGTGTAGTGAAGTGTAGACTGGTTGACTGAGATGCTCAAGATAACAGAAATCAGTGGTTGGAGGTAGTTGGTTATACGGCTGAATATTGGTCATGATAGCGCAGATGTGTCCACTTTGTAGCCTATTCTAAAGTTTGGACATTTTTATTAATCGTCATTTTCTCAAAGATGTTTTCATTCTTATATACTTTTGTCTACCTTGATATCACTTTCCTTGGTCACTTGTTCTGATACATTTCTATGTTGATTTTGTTTCTGTATGTATCTGATGAGTAGGTTTTCAAGTTTTCAGTCGCTTTTTTTTCCAACTAACATCAACTCATGTTCTCAGTTTGTGGTGGTAATAACGCAACTCCTCGGAGTCTTTTTGTGAAATTCAGTTGTAGTTCCTTTTGTAAGCTAGATTGTGTAGACTAGAATATGTAGCTTATTTGAAATTACTGATCAAATCAAGCAGATCAGCGCAGGAAATATTGAAGATTATCGTGATCACCCGTGTAGTGTTTACAAAACTTGTAGAAGTGGAAAGGGTTCAGTGATGTAGAAACTCGATTTACAACTGGGCGGTTACACTGGTTCATATCTCTTCCACCTAATTGAACCTAAGCAGTTTACTTGTGTCATTAGTTCTCAAATATCAGATGTTCAGTTAAAGACTGGGTGCATAAGAGTATGATCGAATACTTTATTTCGTGTAGTAGGCCTTTTTGTCTTGACTTCCATATTTGAACAAACTTTGTTTTTAAAAGAAATTACACAAGTCTATTCATTTTCATCATTTTTTTTTTCTGTAGGCGTTTTCGTGCCTAGGACGTGTAATCGCTCATCATCCAGTTATTACACTACTTATCTCGTTGGGTGTTATACTAATTTTATCAGGTGGTTAGCATTCCTTCAGGTTACCACTAATCCAGTTGAATTATGGTCTGGCAAAAAATCACGTTCTAGGCTGGAGAAAAATTATTTTGATGAACAGTTCGGGTAAATATATACATATTGTATCAAATAGTTAATGCATTTATTTACTATCAGTAGTATCTTATAAGATCTATTTGATGTTGACATTGCAAACTCAAGTAGTTAATGGTAATTTGAATTATTATTATTAGTATATTTTTGGTTTCACTAATATACGACACCTCGTTCTACTTCTGTTGACGCCAACATCATGCCTAAGTATAAGCATTTTATATCTTAGGATTATCAATCATCGATATAAGAATAAAACTTGGGCACTGTAGTAGATTTAAATTCCATTTTAGTCTATTTGTTAGAAATGTCACACAGTGAAGGAACAGTAACATTTACTGGTTAACGTTTCCGACATAATTTATTATCCATAGTCATATCACGATAACTACACTACTTTGAGACATCCTTTACATAATCGTAATTTCCTTACCTCCTTTGTGATATTGGGTAGCAGTATTTTCCAGATATCTTAGACAGGTGCAGAATCATTTTTATTACTCCAGGTATTTAATGTTGATTCGATAAACAAGGATTTGGTTATCAATCTCTCCCTCTACCTAACTGAGTGAGTCTGTAATAGGGACCAGATTATTTTGTCTAATTGGATCAATAGGATCTTTCAACCTAGAAAGCATGTTTGTAAGCGAGTTAGTTAGTTTAGATGCCAGTCATTTTAATCCCAGCTAGCCTTATTGAGAATTCTTCGTAATGATTGTGAGGTGCCTTTCTTCAATGGTAACATAGCAGAGACTTTGAATCCTCTCTCAACCCCGTCACCATTATTATTACTATTATTATTATTGATACCTGTGTTACTACTTCTACTGCTGATATTTTTCTTTCGATTTTTTATGAATTTATTTATAAATTTAGGTGGGTAATTATTGAGACGCAAGGTATTCTTAATGTGTCTAATTTCTTGTCTAGGACTTTCTGTCCTACTAGTAAACTGTTCTGGGCTATTCCTGAGGCATTTAACTCGACCTACTTTAACTGAGATAGGATGGGATGTTTTGAAGTGTAAATAGCGATTCGAACGGGAAGGTTTCCTATAGACACTGGTCTCTAAACTTTCATCTTGTTTTCGTTTAATCTAACAATCCAACATTGTTAGCTCACCTTCATCACTTTCTAAGTCACAAGTGGGTTGGATTGGGTTCACTACTGAATTTATGTATGTAGAGAAGCTATTGATGTGTTCCGATTTCAGTACCGTTAATGTGTCATCTATCTGTATATCGGAACCATATCTTTGGAGTGGACTAAATATTTGAAGGGGCATCCGTTCCCAAGTATTCATAAATATGTCTGTGACGTTAGGCGATGTTGATGATCCCACGGCAACCCCTTCAGTTTGTTTTTACATTTTATTTTGACACTTAAAAACTGTGGATGTCAGACACAATCGTACTCGTAGTATGAATTTCCTGGATCCTCACATTAGTTCGATGCGTAAGCTGATTGTCATCCTTAAGCCTATTTCTAAGTGCATCTAGAGCCATATCAATTGGTATATTTGTGTTCATTGTCATCTAGTCTGTGATTTCAGTCATAAGAGTTTGAGTCGAGATTTTGAGTGATTTCTTATTGGGCCTCGCTCCATTGCTGAATATTTAAGCAACACATAGGTCGGAGTGTTTCTAAAATCTGCTATAGGCCTTATGTGATAACCTGAATTATGAATCTTACTATACTATACATTTTGGTATGAGTGGGGATTTTTAATTTAGAAGTAGTATTCATCATGAACTGACATTAGTTGGGGAACCATTGAAAATCTGGGAGCCACTGGACAGCTGTCTCGTCCTAGTATGGGAATCCTAAACAGTACGCACCCACGACCCGGCTAGGGGCCGAATTCAGGACCTTCAGCTTTCACGGCGAACGTGCTAACCATTCAGCCAGTGGGTCGGTTTCCAGTGGTTCACAATTTCCAACTTCTGTCAATTCACAACATAGCGCGACTGTCACCCAAGGTCTTCAGTTAGCATCCACTTCACTTCCGACTAGTTGACCCCACAGGTCATGGCTTCTCATTAGAACTTCCTGATATCCATCCGGTTAACGCGTTCGCTGTGAAACCTGAAGGCCCTGAGTTCGATCCCTAGCTGGGTCGTGGGTGCGTACTGCTGAGGAGTCCCATACTAGGACGAAACAGCTGTCCAGTGGCTCCCAGATTTTCAATGGTTCCCCAGCTGATGTCAGTCCATGATGTATAAATTGTTGCTCATAATCACACACACACACAACCACACAATAGGGTGGGATAAAGCTGCTGTATTTCAGTCCAATATAATTAGGTGGAGAGAGGTAGAGAGATTGATTACTGAATCTTTGTTCATCGAGTCAACACTTAACACATGTAGTAGAAATGACGCAACACCTATACCGGAGATGTGAAAAATTTTACTGCCAATGAAAATAACTCATATGAGGTGACAAAACTATAAAAATCAAATGTCGAAAGTAGGGTGATTACATTGATATGATTATGAGCAGTGATAATTTATGCTCGAAACGTCATCAAGTAAATAATACTACATCACTGTGTATTATAAATCAAATAAACAAATGTAACATGGGATTGAATTCTACCACAGTGCTCAAGTTTTACACTTATATAAATATTCTACTTTCTTGATTCCAGAGGGGAAGTTCACCAATAGTAAAAGACGAGAAGGTCAGAACCACATTGACGAGTCTTGAAGGAATACAATCAAAACAGAGGCTTGCCTATTTGTTAACTAACAGTTTATCCAAAGAAGCATATTTGTCCAAATGTGTTAACTATAAAGAGACGTATACATAAAAAGTATCTGGGAATACGATAGAAGGAGATAATTCTGAGGTGTCAATAATTCATGAAGCCAAGTCAAAAGTGTTACTCAACCGAAGGTGATTGTGTAGATAATGGAGACCCACTAATTAGACCATTTGATTGACTTTAACTTTGACATCAATAAAATAGTCAGATAAGCAAAGTATAGTTAGCACTCGGAATTTATATGACAACGGTAGTCTGCAGGGTAGAAGATAATTCAAATATACTGTCTTCGATTTCGTTTTCGAAACGAAACGAAATTACACTTTTTTCCATCAATGAGTTTTTTTTTTCAAAATGGAGTTACGGGGGTTCATTGACTTAGGTGTTTTCCTTCTTTGAGTAAGTTGTCGAACAATGGTCTGATTATCGAGGTTTAAAGCAGCTGCAAATATTGTTATCGTCGGGAATAAGTTACTTATTGTTTAGCAAGTCAGTATATTTGTTGAACGATTATCAAAATCAGAATGCTGAATTAATCACTGAATGCTTTCTTGAAATAGGGAGGTATGAATTATCAAGTCGAGAGAACTTGCTAAGGTGATGGATGCTACATTATGTCTGACAACTGTGAACGTCTTCACTGTCTGTCGCATGACTTGTCTAGGGGTTGACATTACTCAGCTGCCTTGTACACATTTGTGCAGTAGGCGATGAGCCATACCTCATATGTGCAGGTTAATGATACTAACTGGCTACCAAAACCTCGGTATGTGGAACGGTACTTGAACCCATAACCCTCTGGTTGAAAGTCAACTTCCTAAGCCAAGCACCCACAACTCCACTGACCTGTTCACATACATTTCAGGATTATACGGAAATAAGTTGTATCCTAAGTAATCAATTATGCCCACTATCCAAATCGCTTTAATTTTTCGGACTGTCTATTTAGTAAGACAGAAACCTACCAATGAGTTTCATCGGTCTGAGGAGTTCCATTCTTATGATGTATCAAACAGAGCTTTCATTGTAGTATTCAAAGGTGATTTACTAAAATAACTTCTGTTTGATTGATTGCCTTAAGAATAACAAGACTTAACAGTTCTACCATTCAGTTACTGGATCTCAGGTTCATGCCTTACTTTGCCGATCGAGGTGCAAGTAGTCTGCTACCATATACTGTATGTATGATTCATTGTTTAGTGCTTGGGCATGCAAATGGTATGCTGAATTCACAGCATGATTTATGTTCACTTACACTTCTATCACCTTGGATGTATATTTAGAGTGCGTTAAATTTATTTTCCTGCCATATTTGTCCTTTTTTTCCAAACTTATATAGAGCATTTTACCGAACTGAGCAAATTATTCTACGACCGAAGAATGAATCGAATTTCACTCATAAGGCACTTGGAGATGCTTCAGGTGATGTTTTATTTGGTCCAGGTTTAGACAAACAGTTTCTTTTAAAAGTAGGTTTCAAGTTTTTCAAATTTCTAATCTGTATAAATCCTTTTGGACGTGAATCTTGAACAGTTGGATAGAGTCTTTGCAATGATTGGGAGCAGTGATAGATATCGAAAGCGGGGGAGATGAAAAAGGGATCGGTGTTGGATAACACTCGGTAAATGTTTAGGTTTATTAAGGATATTAGCAAGAAGAAGACGATGGTTAGTGTAACCAACACCGAAAATTATGGAATGCTGATAACCTCTCAGGACAAGCAGCTAGAACGTTGGGCAGAATACTTTGATGCACAGTTTGACTGGCACCCAGCAACGCTCCAGTTTCCCAACATCCATCCCGAATTTGAGTGGGACTTATATGTCAGTCCTCCAACTCTCATCGAAGTTGGAAAGGCTGTTGCAAACCTGAAACGAAAGGTGAATTTATGGCTAGGTTTGACGATGATTGCAGTGTATATTGATTAGGAACTGGAAAGTAACCAATTTCGTGCTTTCTAGTCAGTACTGATCGAATTTTATCCCATCAGAAGTTCATCGCAGATCAAATAGCCCAGTGGTAGCATATCTGACTGCAACCCTGGGTGGCTTGGGTTCTAATCTTTCGTTGTACATCGGTTTGCTCAAAATCCCAAATCACCTTGGTGACGAGTGCCAAAAAGAATGAAACCTAAGTTCAATAGGGATTTGTAATACAGTTTGGAGATTTGTGGGGATTTATTGATTTCAGGTTGGTATTCATCACTGACTGAAATCAGTCGAAGAACCATTGAAAATCTGGGGCACCGGAAAGTATCAATTTAAACTCAGTCAATCTCTACAAACCTCGAATTGAATCAGTGTCCAGTGCTTATTAGTGATATTCTTCAAGATGTAATTTCCTGAAGTTCTAATGAGAAGTCGTGACCCAGTTGGGCAAGCTGAGTCTTACTTACGAACAGGTAATCAGCGACGGCGTTAGATGAATAGTCGTGCTATATCGCGAATCGACAGGAGAAAAAAAATTTGGAGCATTGGATTCTGACCCAGTGGCTTAGTGGTTATATATTCATCGCGGAACCTGAATGTCATGGGTTCCATTCCTGGTAGGGTCATGGGTGCGGACTACTAAAAAGTCCCGTACTAGAACGGGACAGTAATTCATTTATCCATTTGCATGAAAAATATCTATTGAATATTCAGTTTGAAGGTTTGTGGGGGAAGTGATTGATTTTAAGGGTTGTTTTTCTAACAGGTCAAAATCTACCAGAGGGTTACTGAGTACTTAAAAATACAAGATAGCTGTTCCATCTCATTTTGGAACTCCTAAGCACTGTGCACCCACAAACCTGTAAGAGATCGTGAACTGGGTCTACCAAGCCAAAGAAAAGCAGTTTCTAGTTCTTGGAGTAATTGCTGGACTCAATTCTCATAGGCAATACCCATTCCTTTTGGGATGAAAATACATCAATTTACTCATTCCTGAGGAATATTGAGCATTTTGATATTATTAGTGGATGGTGCCTAGCAGTGGGATCGTGGACGCTTATTTCCTCCTATTTGAGACCCGTCAGCTGGATGTACCTGCCTCTCAGTGAGCAATGCTGCGGATAACGCCCTAGCGTTTGAAGCTATCGGCCTTGGATTCGAGTCTTAGTGGAACAACATCGCTTGTTGAGAGGGAGGTCCATCTAGCTTACGAATCCCAAATAGGACAAGACGCGCGTCCTGGATTTACTGCTAGCCACTATCCATCGGTGATATCAAAATTGAAACGACAGGTGGTATCGGGGCATTTGCACAGGAGCCCGTGTGCCAATAGAGACCGACCAATTCGGTTCAGTCAACGGCGAGATAATGCAAACAACATCATACTAAACACTTATCTGAAATACCATTGCTAACTACTACTAATCATTACTTAAATACTTGAACTATTACTGGACTCGCCAAGTAGTAACCATAAATTCAAATGAATTTGTCATCATAGGAAATCATTCGTTGAACGGTGACCGATGTCACCACACTTTTTGTTTTCCCGATGGAAACTGGAGTGTATTGGTGAATTACTGGTACATACTTTCCACTGAATTGGTTTTCATGCCTACTGGGTCTTGGTAGCAGGACATATTCCTAAGTGTTTCAACCAGCAGTAGTAACGGATGATTTTTCTACTGGGTGATGAATTCTGTTCATTTAATACTACTTATGTTATCGACTGGAGGTATTGTAAAGTGTCATAACTACTCAAGATTTGTCACATTTGAATCTGTTTTCATTTCATTGAAATTGTCATCTTCACTTTGTGTGTGTGTGTGTGTGTGTGTATTTCGCTTTATTTTCCTTATTTTACACAGGTACTTGATTTGCAAAAAACAATCCAAGCCATCTCAGTTGATTATGAACCGGACCAAAAATCTATACAATTGTCAGATATCTGTTTCCAACCTCTGCAACCAGACAATAAAGGATGTGCTATAACAAGTCCAATGGAATACTTTCAAAATAATATAACCCTATTCAACATGGTTGTAAGTGCTTGGTTATATTGTTTGTTTAACTGCTTTTTTATCGTCTTACTGCATACATGTCTACTCATTTATGCTTATTTATGTAATCAATTACAACTAGTGTTTACACTTTCTATTCAATCTAATGATCTGTATTAGTTCACTCACTCACTCACTCACTCACTCACTCACTCACTCACTCACTCACTCACTCACTCACTCACTCACTCACTCACTCACTCACTCACTCACTCACTCACTCACTCACTCACTCACTCACTCACTCACTCACTCACTCACTCACTCACTCACTCATTACACGAAATCCTGGGCACAATTATCCTTTATGTTACAGTCAATCTTTACCAATGACTTATTTAGAACTTGAATAGGTCAAAGGGAACAATTATTGCAAATCATACAGAATATCAGCAGAATGGAATAAACTTTAAAGTTTCCTAACAGCTTCTGAGTACATGCTGTTTTTCTTCTTATTTTTTTTAGTTATCTACTCATGAAAAGTTTCTATTGTTTTATAAAAAAAAACTACTCACTTTTTGCTATGTTGAATACAAGAAAAATCCTCTTTTAGAGCTAAAATAAGCTGAGGTTCCTGACTAAAATAATGTTAGAGTGCTAGGAATATCGTTTTCATTGTCAAAAATTTTCAGTTTCAATCTTGTCAGAAATGTGCAGCATCTGCCAAAAACACACCTGCTGTCTAAACTCAAATTCAGGTGAAATTGCTTTGACTTGAATTCAAATTTCGTATTCTTGAAAATACAATGGGAGAATAGATGAAAAACAGCAGTTTACGAATCTGAACTATCAGCTATCCTAACTAAAATCAGTTGTTCAGTAAGTATCGTTAGGATTTCGAATCAGTACTTAAACCATTGTATATTTCGAATGTGATTTTAATCGACAAAGACAAATAGGTTTGAGAGGTGATTACTGAAGTTCAAATGAGAAGTTGTGACCAGTGTAGTCAATCAAGTCAAACATGAGGACAGTTTCACCATATCGTGAACTGATAAAAGTAGGAAATATACACCATTCGATTCCGACCCAATGGCTTAATGATAACGTGTTGGCCACGGAACCTGAAGGTCCTGAGTTTGATCCCTGGTGGGGTCATGGGCGCGCACTGTTGAGGAGTTCCATACTAGGACGAAACAGCTGTCCAGTGCTCCCGGGTTTCCGATGTTTCTTCAGCTGATGTCAGTCCCTAATGAATGCCAACCTAAAAATGGATAGATGAGTCTAGTAATCTCAGTCCAAAGTGACTCATGAGCATTTCTAACCGTTTCTTCTCCGGAAAGTTATGAATAGTAGATGAATTAAGAGATAATTGAATTACTTTTACTGGAGTCAATTGATAGATACACTTATGCCAGGACTAGTCTGTATTGCTACCTTATCTGGTAACAGAAAGGTGGGATCAACCCTGATATAGGATAAAATCTGTGCATAGATACAGAAGGTTCGATTGGCTTTCGCCAGCTCGCACCATTCGTAGTGAAGTAGAGATATATAGTCGCCTGTTAAGGGTTGAGTGTAATACTCAGCGGTTCGTTCTATTCTACTACTGTATAGCTATGAAACATGGTCATAAACGATTGAAGATACTGAAAGATACTAGGGATTTGACCACCTTTACCTTCTTAGTTTCATGCATGTGCCATGGAGTTACCATGCTAGTGATGTAGAAGTCAGGTTTTAGGCAGTGGAGGTGAGGCGTTTGATGGGTTTTTAGACCTTCATCAACTTAGGTCGTTGGGACAAGAGCTATTCGATCTGAATCATTATCATTATCCTATTGCACAGTATTAACTAAAGCGCGTTTAGGTTAAACAAGGAGTGATTAAACTGCATATGGAATCAGTCCATATAATCTCTAGCTATTGATCTGAACTGTATGAGCAAACTGTAAACTTTCAAACTGGAGGCCCACTTGATAACCGAAATATGTCGCTAGAAGTCTAGGTAATATATTGATACTTTTACCTTGATATATTGATATGAGGTATTGAAACTTGAAGCGTTACGTTGCAATATCAGACCCCATGTTGATCCTGACTGCACCTGATCACAAGGATTCGAACCTTATAGATAAGGGTTAATATAGTGTATACAACAAGCTGAAGTCCTCAAAATTAATATCTTAATAACCCCCCTGTATATAATCTATGGTCAATTTGATGTTTTCAAAAGTTTTTTACCGATTAACAATGAAGTTAAGGGTGAAAATTGGCTGTCTTCAGCTTGAAATGCACGTTTCAGTTCGTGTAAATATTTCTGAAAGAAATCATGATTTCACGTCATTTATTATCTTTCTGTACAAAAATACTGCTGAAAGAACCTAAATTATCATGTTTCAGTATTCTAATCTACTTTTTTTTCTACCGCAAGATAAATTTTAACTGCTTTTATGAATGTATACGGAAACTATGCAATTTCATTTCAATGGCATATTTGCTGGCAATCAATGGAGTAGTAATAGTAGTAATAGTGATGAGTGACTGACTGGGTCCAATCTTCTCCATCGTCTTTGCGATGAATCGTGAAGAGGATGATCTTCTGTGGAATAAGTACATCACTACAATTCATTTCTGGTGAAAGGGTTCGTAATAATAAATTTGACTTGATATAGTACAGATAAAGAGAGAGAGAGAGAGAGAGAGATCCTCAGATATATTCACTAGAAGAGCACGTGGAGCGGGTATTAATAAACTTTCAATGATTCCTGTCTATCGTAACCTGTTGCTCTGTGGAAGTGAATTTCCTAGGAGAATCAAGCAAACAGACTGCTTCATTAAAATGAACCTAACCAGATACCATGATAGCCTATATCTATCGGACTTATCTAAACACTTGAGCGAACTCTTCGTTACTCAGAGGATATAGCTTACCATTTTTTTACTACTTGCGTCAAACTAGTTGTTATTAAGTAATTTAGTCTGAGGATAATTTAATCGTCTAGTGAGATATTTCTCTGATAGTAAAGCTACTCGTTTACTAAATACCCTAGTGAGTAATTTTCGCATAACTGATAAATTGGTTGACTACCATTGGACTCTTAAATATTCATTGTTTCCCCCTTTTTATATTGGTCTCTGGGTTGGTGTTATTTAGTGCAGCTTATTTTTATTACGTAAGCTCAATCCAAACTGAATTGTAACTGTTTCAACACTACAAAGTAACTTATTCTACTGTTTTGTACCGGAAATTCCAGGAATTAGATAAATAAAGATGGTTTAGGGTGGTTATACTTACTCAACCGTCTCTGGTAGATAATGATGCCTGTCGGGTGGTGCTGTGACTCATTAGTTTAGGCAGATGACTATCAACCATTGGATTACGCGTTCGAACCCCGCTCCACGTACTGAGTAGTACTGAGTGGTATCATAAGCCCTCATGCAATATGCGCGAGGGATGTGTACAAGGTGGTTGAGTGCAACTCATTCGTTCTTTCAATACCTGTTGGGCTCAAGTTTCAATGGAACATCATGATCTAGGTGCATTTAACTGGTGAGTTTCTGATAGAATGAAAAGGCTTGTGCTACAGATCCCATTGCTAACCAATTACCAAGTAGTTTCAGTCATAACCTAGTTACATATTCTGTCATCATCTTTGTTTTATGGCATTTTAACGATTTGTAGCTTGTGTAGATATTTTAATGATAGATACTGGTTAGCAGTGGAATCGAGGATGGGCATTTCGTCCTATTTTGGACTCGCCAGTTGGATGTACCTGCTTCCCAGTGAGTGATGTTGTTCCCACAGAGATCGATCGATTCAGTCCAATCTGCGACGGTATAATATCAAAACAATTATACTAAAACCATACCCATCGCACAAGAAGTGGCTATCGTGGCTCTGTGGTTTAGTGGATAACGCTCTGGCGTTTGAAGCGACCGCTCCCGATCCCCATTCCCGTTGGGAACAACATCACCACTGGGAAGCCGGCTGACGAGTCCCAAACAGGACGAAGTGTGCATCCTAGATTCCACTACTAACCACAATCCCTCATAATATAATTAGAACACAGGTAATATCGAGGCATTCATACAGGAGCCCATATATCAATAGAGACCGATCAATTCGGTCCAATGAACGACGGTCTAATATAAAAACAGTTATAGTGTATTGTTTTGCATAATATGCTATTATTAATTGAAGTGTTTATTGTGTTGCTCAATTACTGTTTAACAAATCGGACTCTCATTCTTTAGTATGTAGTCTTTAATAGTTCTTTTTTTAAAGTCTTACTATTATAATAGACTTTCCCGTGACTCTAGGTGAAACCGTTACACTTATGACTTTTCACTTACTTCTAGTATTTATTGTATGCGTGCGCGTATATCAAATATCTGTACTGTTAACCAACGATGCGAAACTCTTAGCTTTATTTATTTATTCCTTTTTTGTAGACACCTGATTTTTAAATGTGTTAGATTTTTAATCTCAACAGCTTTTTTTGTTCTCTCCAATTTAGTTTATTGTCTGTAGGATTTGGTTTTTTTAAAACTGTGGAAAAAGAGAAAAAAAAAGTTAAACAGTATTTCTTTCCAGCGTTCAATTACTTGGCTTATTTATTTTGCAATTGGGTATATTTACTCATTCTCTGCAGTACAAATTATGCTTTAACTTGAACATACTGTAGATTTTTTCTAGTCGTCTATAATAATTTGAGGAAATGACTTTGTTTTGATAAATTTTCTAGGCGATTGTTTGAATTTATTCGTCTATCAGAAAAGTTGTCTATATTTCCTTTTCATTAGTATAATGATAGTTATCCGTATATTATAGACAGTATTCTGAATAACTTTCAATTTGTACATCGCCTGTTAATCTTTAACTAATAGTACTTATCGTCTATGACAGAAAGTATTAGACATGCTTACAGCCATAGCTCATCATTCAATCCACAGTTGGACCTCGTAGCTCAGTTGATAGAGCACCGGGCCAGTAACCCGGTGGTTGCTAGTTGAGTCCGACCGCAGTCCAGATTTTCATTT